CCAGGCCATCGCGAAGTGGATGCTTGGTGGAGCTGCGAGGCTGGTAGACGAAGCCTTGTCGAGCTTCCCTGTTACGACTCCGGGAAAGCGTGGGATTTCTTATTCATACTTGGAGAGGAGGCTGGGCTGGACGCCGCTTCGGAGATCTCGTGGAAGATGAGCTCCGAGTGGCAGACGCAGGAGAAGCAGCGCCGATCCTTCCGAAGCTGGCACACGACCCCACGATTCCACGCATGACGACGGGAGGCGATCCACCATCGAAGAGAGATCCCACGTGGACTCCTTGAGCGATCACTACCTCATCGACACTACGTTGTGGTCATCCTTGGCGCACGACCAGCAGTGAGTCATGAGAAACGCGTTGCTCAAATAATCGGCCACATTCGAGGAGATCTTATAAGCGGAGACCCAACGTGCTCCGTCATATCTCTGCCATAAGTCCTGTCCACAGAGGCATGCCAGTACCACCGCTACTTCACTGTGGGTGTTGCACCTCTCGCTACATCGGAGGCCATCGATATCGACGAGGCCGGGAATGCCCACGTGGAAATGTTGCCCCGGACGAGATGCACAAATTTTATCAGGCCCCCCTGTTCCCGAGGGTCATTGCGCACGCCTCTGGGTCACCGTGGCAGGAACCAAGAGGGCAGTGGTCGAACGTGAAACTGGCTTACTCACCCCCGAAGAGTTTCGAGAGAGCGCCGCAGCCGTCGCTGCCGTTGTTTTCGAGGAGCTGCAACTACAGGTAGATCGCAGTTACTTCCCACGGCGTCCTCGCCGTGGATCGCGCGGCATCCTCGACTGCAGGTGGGTAGGCAAGCGGCAGTGGACACGAGGCAAAGCAGACCCATCTCAGAAAGTTTGGATCATCCGCGCGAGGCGGACCCTCCGAGGCTTCCAGGACGCGCAGGCGCGTTATCGCGACTCTACCAGCGCGCGATCGTCCCGGAGGCTGCCTGCCGAGGGTGGACGGTCGATGCGAGGGGCGTCAAGAATGCTTTCCAGAAGGGCGCCAGCTACTTGGATCTTGCGGAGGCAACAGGTGAGGAAGAGCGCGAGGACAATTTTGAGTTCCCCTCTGATGCCGTCGCTGTCCTGCAAAAGATCAAGGGGCGCGAAGACTTCGGAGCAGCACTTGAGGATCTCCACATTGAGAAGCCAGCCGCCGGTGCAAAGACGCCCCGGGATGTTGGTCCACCGAACTCACCAAGATTACCTATCAACGTGACCAAACCATCCCTGCACTATACGACTATACGACATCGAGCTTATCGCCAAACGCAAAGATGGCGAGCTTGCCCCACTGGCCACCATGCACGTCGACGACATCATGGCAGCGGGATCACCGCATGAAAAGGCAAAGTTACGTCAAGGCTTAGAGGACGCCTTCAGTCAAGGTGAGCTGGATGTCCGCGAAGGAACTTTCATATGCTGCGGGGCACGTCATTCCCCCTCGCGCAAGGGCGGATATGAGCTGGACCAGATCGAGTACACTCAGGCTCTGGAGCCGATAGGAAGCGCTGAGCTCGCTTGGGGGCCCAACTCCGAGCTCGCCTCAGAGAACCTGGCCAAGTTGTGCCTCGGCCTACTTCTGGCACTGGCGCATTCATCGCGCGAACCGATATGCGCGCCTGCGCGGTCGCACCTCCGCGCGCCGCAACGGCGCCAGCGCGCGGCCACATGCGGAAGCTAACTATCCACATGCGCGTTGCGCGCGCAAGCTCGAAATACACAGCGACGCAACTTTCCGAAAGTAGCTGAAGAAAGCTGCCGACGCGGGGCGTGCCCAGCGAGAAGCCACCTCCCTGCGCATGGGCGCCAGCGACACGGATGCCCAACGTTCGTTGGCCAGCAAACGCGCCATCTGCTAGATTGGAAGTGCGGCGCGCTCGAAACGGTTACACGAAGCACCTCAAGTGAGCTGATGGCCGCGACCAGTTCAACAGATCACGGCCTCGTTCTGGCCACCGCGCTTCAGGAAGTACTCGCAGGACCTCGGGGCCCTAATGCTGCACGCCGCCAGCGAGATGCATGGCAGCCACTCGCACTGCAAATGGAGCTCTGCCTCGACTGAATGGGGGCAGGCGCAGCCGCCACAGCTACAAGACCCAAGCCCCCAGCAGAACACTCGTTACTACCGCGTGTGCTCTGGCTCCGCGACCTCCTGAGCCCGGGCCAACATTGGGCCCTGAGCTGGGAAGACGCGCGGGATATGACCGCGGGTAGACTGACCACGGGCAGCATGGATAGATCTGCCCTCCACTGGCCGGCAGCCGTCGTCAGCGGCCACATTTACCGCCCGCAGTCATCCTCGCGCCGGCTAGCAAGCTCACTGCGATACCAAGCCATGAGCGAAAGCCGACCTCCGACAACTAACACTTCTCATCGTGCGTCTAGGGCTTGCGTTGTGCTCCGTTTCATTCGAAGCCATCAGTCCTGTCTCATCCTCGTCTCTTCTGGAAGGTCTGTCGCGTGGCACACGGCGGTCGAGAGATAGTTTGTAGCGCGGCAGTTCGGGTGATCACGTCGTCAGGAGCTTCGTCGTTGCAGCGTTCAGTTTCGTTGTGGCACGCACGAACGCGCTGATGCGGGCGGACGCGCGGGGCGTGGAAGTAGCAAGAAGGGCTAGGGATGCACGCTCACGATGCCGCTGCCATTCTTCCCAGCAGCATGCTTGTGCGCCGCCCAGCCGGAGCGCGCGCCGCCGGTCCCGCGCGCGGGCCCCCGGCGCCGGTCGCCGCGCGCCGGCGGCCACCCGCTGCCGCGCGCGCGCCTGCCAACGTGCGCCTGAGCAAGCCGCCGGAGCCCCCAGGACCTCCGCCGCCTCGTCGCTCGCGGACCGCGCCCTCGACATCTCTGTCACTCGCGGAGGACGCGTCGTCATCGGACGACGCGACGCTCGCGACGCCCACAGGTCGAGCCGCACCACGCGCTCGATTTGCAACGCCCCCTCCAGGCACATGGTCGAGGTACGGTAGCCCGACAAGGTAGCCGGTCATTGTCCGCCCCCCCATGGCACGCCTCCGATGATGCCTCCGCCGAGCAAGTCGTAACCACTTCACTTACACCGTCAGGCGCAGCAGCTCAATGAGGCAAGGCGCGTTATTTCAACCCCGTCTGTTTCTCGAGATCACGCTCGGGCCCCAGAGCTTCTTCGGCCCCGCTCGCGCGCGCCGTTTCCCCGCGGACGCCGCGCGGCTGCCATGTCTCGCGCTCGGTTGAGGCCCGCCGGCAAGGCACCCGCATCCGCGCCGAGTCCTCCGAGCGCCCCGCTGCCCCCCGACGCGCCAGCCTCGGCGCTCGCGGCAGGTCCTCAGCCCCCTTCGCTCAGCAAGAGCGACGAAGAAGTGGTGCAGTTCATGCGGCAGCGGCGCTTCGCCGACCCGGCCCCCGAGCTGCTGCTCCTTTGGATCCTCTACTCCACCAGCGTCATGGAGCCAGAGTTGCGCGACGGGTTCACGTTCGAGGCTCGCAGGGCCATGGGCCGGCCGAGCGAGGCGCGGCCGTAGTGCGCCAGCAGTCCGATCGGCATCGGCCTTCTACTGTTCGCGGCCAATATGCGCAACTTGCAGAGCTCGTGGCCCGCCCAAGAGAGGACCGAGTGCCGCCGAATTTGGTCGCTCGCCACCGTCGGCTCGTGGCCGAGGTTAGGTCGGGACCCTCACTCGGCCCGCGACGAAGCGTCTCTCGGCGCGCCCTCTTCCAAGAGCAGGCCGCTCGGCTATGCGAAGGCCAGCGTCGCCGACGCCGCGGCCATCGCGCCCCCCCATCGCCTCAGGGCGAGCGCGCGCCGCGCGCCGCACCTCGTCGCCACCTCTGTCCAGAGGTTCAGCCCTGGCCCCCCTCTCACGAGGTTGAATGCGACGAGGCCACTACTGCTCGCGGCTCGGGCTGGAGTCCGACGTCGCCTCGCCCGTCGACGCCGCGCGCATTCTGGGCGAAAACAGGAGCCACGGCGCCCATCCCCCGCGGGCACGCCGCCGTGGTAGCTGGCGAGGGCACGAGCAAGGACACGAGCAAGAGCGAGCCCACGCCAGAGGCCGACGCCGACCTTCCCAATAAGAAAAGGAAGATCCGCAGGGCTGGGGGGAGGTCAAGCGCCGGCGCGCCAGCGCGGCTCTCCGCGCGGCCGGCGCCCGCGAGCCACAGCTGCCCTCGCCAGGGGCCAGCGGGCACTGCCGAGCCCGGCACGCCCAGCGAGGAGGTCGCCTTTGATCGTCGACGGAGCGGCCCCCGCGGCTCGTGACCGCGGCGAGCCTCGAGGCGATCGCGCCCGGAAGTGCACGCGTCCCTCAAGGTCTATATCCATCCATCACCTTCTCTCTCACCTACCAGGTCAAGGCACTGCACTTCCACCTCGCCCTTCACGCGACGCCAGGGCCATCACTTCGCCGAAGTAGTAGAACAGGCTTTCAGACGTCACGTCTGCGGCCCGACGTCACTAACATCATACACATATGCGGCACCAGATATATCACACCATCATCACTCAAACGCGCGAGCTCCTCCAGTGCCGCTCCCAAGAGCACGAGCGAGCTATCCGCTACAGAGGATGAGCCGACGTTCCGCCGCGTCGCGCGCCCGTCAGGTCAGAGAGCGACGCGGCCTCCCTGCTGAGTGTAGAACGTGCTGGGGGGTTGGACAGTTATGGCTTCCTCCATCCTTTGGTCTCTCTTCTCCGCCAGAGCTGTTCGATCGCCCGCACAATCCCGTTTCAAATGGGAGGGATCGCCGCTATCTGGCCCAAGCGTCGACGCATATCTGCACAGTGTACGGAAGGTTCAGCCGCGCATTCAACATATTATTGCCGCCGCGTTTTCTCTCGTACAGCTTCCAACCCCGGAATCATATTTCCTCCTCCTCCTCCCTCTCCTCCTCCTCCTCCTCCTCCTCCTCCTCCTCCTCCTCCTCATCATCATCATCATCATCATCATCCACTTTCTCCCCCAGCGTTCCCGCCCCACCTTGCGTTCCCGCGCCCCAGCGGCCGAATGGGGGGGAGGTCGAGCACTTCCGGACCGGACACGTAGCGGTCGTGGTGGAGCTGCGCGCTCCGTCGGGCGAGAACGTCATAGTCGCGACCACGCACCTCGCCTGCGGCCCGCTGTCGGAGGCCCCCGCCGCGGCGCCCCGCCCCTCGCTCGTGGAAGCGCGCTGGTCCTCGGGGGCCGCGGGCCCCGAGGCCTCTCGCCGTCCTCGGGCTCTCGGCCCCGACCTCCGATCCGCCGTGCAGGGGCTCGTTTTCCGACGTCGCATCGCGTCGGAAAGTGCGCCCCGAGCGATGCAGAAAGGGGGGGGGCGGGGACGCCCACACTGGGGGAAGCGGGGCGGAGATTGTCGCAGAAGGCACGGCGGAAGCAGCGACAGCAAAGAGCGGGGCGGAGATCGGCATCAAAGGAGCTCAGCAAGGTGTGGCGGACATCTCCGCCAGACGCACGGGATCGCCCAGAGCACGGCGGATCCGAAGTCAGGGGGCGGGGGGGGGGCCCTCCACGGGCCAGGGCAGTCAAAAACCGCTCGGGATGGAGAGCTGGTCCGAGGACGGGGCCCCGGGGTGCAGGGCCCGCGTCCCTCGGGACCC